TGTTACTAGTTGCGTGAAAGCGGCCGTTGCGATGAAGGTTACACATATAATTAGTGCAGCTCGGTCCTGGCTATATAGTATAAAGTATAAAGCTTAAGTGGGGATGGGGGGAGGGGTAATATAAAAACAAAACATATATATATACATGATATACAATTTTGAATTCACCAACAAGCTACTCGATAATTGGCTTACATTGTTCCTTGGTTTCTAATCTTGCACCGCTCGAGATTTTTTGCATATTGTAGCGATATTGTCGAACGGGTTTCTGATGACATGAATCAGTTTAACTGGGACCTCCACTGTTTTCTGTAGTTCTTGTAGGTCTTGAAGGCCTTTTCGTTGTCCCAGTATTGCAGCTGTTCCGCTTCCTTGTTTGTCTCCAATTACCTACGTTTATAGTAGGAGATAATTAACAATTGTTCCATCAGCGCGCGTTGGAAATGAGATGGTAAATAGCCAACGAGGCCCGTAGGGCCGATTTGGCTATAACCAATCTTATATCCAACAAGCGCGAATGGAATAATTGTTTTATTAAACTAGGTGCGTTTATATACTTCGAAGTTATAGCTTAATTTTATTGGATTTTAATTTTACTAGGCGGCCGGAAGTCGATGTGGCAAAAACAACAAGTGAGAAATCACATGACATGCGCGCTGTTTGTAAAATTAGTTGAATGAAAAATTTGAAAGCGACGCAAGCGAATTTGCTGAATGAAATTACAATCAAGTAGAATTCAAGGAACGTCTATCAAATGAAGAAGATATATCCCTAGTCAGAAAGTTTGAAAAGCGTTCAAGTCATGGAGAAGAGAGCCGAATAACTGTGCACTTGCACATTGCCGTTGTAATAATGCTGCGGAAAATTCCGATCGCCATGTGACACAGACGTTGTGCCAAAATTATTCTCGACAAGAGCTCTTTCAGGATTCCCTTTCTTTGAAAGCCTTGGCATTTCGAGCTGTATGTGTGAAACTCAGTGTTGTCCAGATTCAAAGTCAGGGACAGAAACTATCTGAGCGTGAGATTCATCTTCAGAATCTCCGAGACCATCCTGATGGTTTTTCGTGACTAGTAAGGAACCGGGCTTACTTCGGTTGAGCTAAAAACACTCAACTCCTTGAGGTGTTTTTTGCAAGGACGTAATTGTTGGCGCTAGCTGTCGTTGATTCTCTCGTCCTCGTCAGCCAAAAAGAGACCGAGATAAAACTAGGTCGTCCTCTGTAGCTGCTCCGGATTTTTGGTCTCGACCGAGCTTAAGTTGAAGAGTTTCCTCATCTGCTCACTGGAAATTGGTTTCTTATGGACTACGCCGGCAATGCTACCTGTTTTCCTGAGGCCTTTTACAAATGCTCTAATAATTTATTTTCCTCGTCAGAGATAGTGGAAAACTGTTTGTGTTGCGGCGGGGTGCGAAGGAAATGATCAATGGCGGTTCTTACGGATTTCGAGGATGCACTTTTTTAATACGTGCCGTCCTTCTTCCAAGTAGACGTATAAAAACACTTCAAACAAATATTAAGTTCCTCTCTTAACATTTCTTACATCGGTTTGGAAAATTTGATGCCAACAGAACTCGCAAGCAATTCTGTTAAGGTAAACATTGATTTTGTTAAATATAATAATCTTCATGAATGCGTAAAATCTCGGCGGTCATATTTTAATTTTGCAACTTTTAAGGGAAGCTTAACGTATACGTACCGTTAGATAATCTAATCTCGAACTTTGTAGCTTTTTTGTTGTTACTGGGACGACATTGTCCATAATTTCCTGTGTTTCTTCTGTAGATAGCTCACTGAGTCTGCGTTTTTTCATTCATTGTTTTGGTCGACAAAACTTGCCTCCCCGCGAAAACGTTTATGCCGAGCGACATTTACCGCATTCATTTCCATATAAGGTCAAACGCGGGTATAATGGCAGGTAACCGAGATCCAGTGAACCAACCAGAAAGCTAGAATTGCATTATCCGAGGTTGAGAATTTAATAATACACTTTATCAAAAACTGGATCACTGAATAATGTAATTGAAGAATTTCCATTGGCTTAACAATCATGATATATGAGCGATTATACCATGCTCTACAAATATGGTTAGCGTATGCATAACTGTTAGAGCGTTTTATTGTTGTTTTATTTTAGTTTTTTTGTATGTTTTTTTTTTTTAATATTTGGGGGCATTTTTAGTAAAACAATTATTGCACTCGCGCTTCTTGGATATGAGATGATCATAGCCATCTTAATGCTATGCGCCTCGTTGGCTATCCATCATCTCTTATAATCCATCAAATACTTTCGCGCGCACGTGATTGGTCCAAACACATCACGTGACCGAATATTCCCCAGCTATTCAAAACTGCGCATACTGCGAAAAATATTTGAAGGATAATAGACACAATAGCCTGCATTTGGCGCAATAATCCGCTCGGATATTTGTCCTTGGACATTATCTGTTCATCCAAGCTCACAGTTTTCCTTGAGCTACGCTCTCTGAAATCTGTTCGCTTCTCGAAACAGATAATATCCGCGGGCAAATATCCGAGCATATTTCCGCGCCAAATGGAGGCTATTGTTTATGTATCCAAGGCGCGCTCTTGGAATAATTGTTAAAGACAGCCCTTCTTTTTTGGTTATATATTGTCATAACTCAATTCAAGGATAATTTCTTCTTAAAATTGATTACTTCTTGCTTCTTCAAGCTTCTTCTTCGGTATTGCTTCTTTTTAAATCGTATCAGCCTTTCATATCCCCATACCAATGCATCATTTAACAAATTGACGTCATTTTCTATTCATCTGTCCTCTAATTGATGTTAAATTGCGTCATGATATTGTCAAAGTGGCTGCGGAATCACTCGCCTTCCCGTTGTGGTCCCACAACCACTTTGACAAAGTTATGACGAAATTTATCATCAATAAGAGGGCAGACGCATCAAAAAACTTACGTCTATTTGATTTTACAATAACAAGACCCCCAAAATAGTCAAATGCCGAGGGGAAAAGACGCCGTAAACTTGCCGTAAACAAAGACAAGTTAAATTTATTCAAAATGGCGCTAACATTGTCAATACAATTTCTCGCTTTTTGATTGGCTACTTAAAAAAGTCCATAAAATCTCATTAGTTAAAAAGTTGGCAGTTTGACAGCTAAAAGTTGAACTTGAAAGCTAACATAAATGAAAATCCGACTGTACTCTTATTGATGATAAAAATGAACCAATCAGCGCTCGAAAAATTAGATAGCTATTGCAAAAAATAAATAAATAAATAAATAAATAAATTGAGAAATAACGCTTTTAAGTATCCTGAGGTTACCTGCAGCTAGTGGACAGTATATTGCTTAGTTTACATTGTTTTTGAGTCAGACTGCCTCATGTCCTACACCTAATGTGCTCAGTTCCTTATATATCCACAACAACCGTATTTTGATTCAAATGCTTTTCCAGTATCGACTTTTACTGCCCCAATAGGCAAAATGTATATTTTACTGGTCACCAGTTTTGTCGGTTTTTTAAAATTCTTTTTTAGCAATTTTCTTTCATTACTTTGATTAGTTTTGAGCCATTTTGATGGTTTGGTCAGGTCTTCTAACAGTGAAACCGCTGAAACTATCCAAACTGTTAAATTCTATCAATTTAAGTTGAAAAATTGTTAAGATTATTAACGGCTCTGTAACTTTACTTACCTTTATTTGATTTCTATATTGTCCTTGCCAGCTTCCTGGAATATAGTAGGAATAACCAAGTCTGTTGTTTGGGGAACGTTTCCCTTGTATGGATTGACTGTACGAATGTGAGTGCAACGCAGAAAAAATTCGGAGTCTTCGACTGTAACTTTCCTCATTTGGGTCCTTATAAAAGCTTTTAAATTTTGCCAGGATATGGACCTCATTTGGAATGATTATGTCTGGATGAGAGTCCAAAATGGCGGCTATAAGACTGTGGCCACTTCTAGGATAACCAACAAACAACACAAACGATTCAACGCCATCGTACGGAGAATTGCGCTTGAGGTCCAGTTTCTCTGGAAAGAAGAACAACTTCGACACGTTAGTAAAGTTCTTATCTTATCTTATCTTATCTTTTCATATGTTTTCTTATCTCAGTTATTTTATCTTATCTTATCTTATCTTAGCTTATCTTATCTTAGCTTATCTTATCTTATCTTTTCATATCTTTTCTTATCTCAGTTATTTTACCTTATTTTATCTTATCTTATCTTAGCTTATCTTATCTTATCTTAGCTTATCTTATCTTATCTTTTCATATCTTTCCTAACTCAGTTATTTTATCTTATTTTATCTTATCTTATCTTAGCTTATCTTAGCTTAGCTCAGCTTAGCCTAGCTTAGCTCAGCTTAGCTTAGCTCAGCTTAGCTTAGCTTATCTTAGCTTAGCTTAGCTTAGCTTAGCTTAGCTTAGCTTATCTTATCTTAGCTTCGTGAGACAAAATGCAGTTTGAAAAAAATCCGGAGTTCTCGACTGTTACTTTCTTCATTTCCCTTTGTGGGTCATTAAAAAATCTGTTAAACTTTTTCAGGAGGTCGAACTCGTGTGGAGTGATTATTTCTGGATGAGAGTCCAAAATGGCGCCATAAGACTGTGGCCACTTCTTCCATAATCAACTAACAACACGAATGTTTCAACGCTATCGTACGAAGAATTATACTTCAGCTTCTGTTTCTCTTGAGAAAAAGAAAACAAGCAAATTCAAAGACAGAAAAAATATTTGACCAATGAAGTGAGTTAATCATATACATGAAATGCAAACAAGTGAGGAATACGACGTAAGGTGTAAAAAGAAGATTTTCGGGGGGAAACGATCTCGTTTACAAATAGACAAACGCTTTCGTTTCTGTTAAAAACGTCTTCTTTATTACACCTGGTGTTTCACTATTTTCAACGGCTATTACACTTCTCAACTTAAGATTCTGCTCTCGTTCTTTTATACCGACCTCGTCGACACTTGTCAGTCAAGTATCAAACTGACATCTAGGCTTGCATAAGAACTTACACAGCCCATGCATAACGGCACTACGCTTGCGCACGAGAATCATTACCATATTTTCCTTCGAACGAATACAAGAGTCGCAATCTTTTTCATTTCACATTTTCTTTATGATCCAATAGGGTCTGGCCAAAATAAAACAATGAGAGCAATATAAAAATTACAGCAATGATCTTTTCAAAATTGAATGAAAATATAAGTTACAGCAATGTATAGACTCAAAACTCGAATAAAGATTGTTGTACAATCGTTGTCAAACAACAACTCAGGCTTACTTATTGAGGAAGAAAGGCGGCCCTACTGGTTACGCCTTTTCCACATTTTAATATTTAAGTAGTCGGTAGAACTTTTCAATAACAGGAATCCATACACATAGGTGCCATCGGTACAAACGTACGTGTTGCCAAGTTCTTTTAATGAAACCGACTTCCAAACGGTTTTCTGCGAGTAACACCTTTTTTTTTTAATTACCGTGTTACTAGGAGATATTTAGTATGAGCTAAAATTGTCCATCTGAAACCTTTGCTAAAGAGGTTAGGTTTGCTGTGCTTTTACATCGAAGAAAATAAAACTTAACATTAAGAACAAAACATACTGTGATAACAATAAATTATTCCAGGAAAAATGGTCAGGTACAACATATCTTAGCAATTTACCTGGTCGTTACAATAAACCTAAATAAAGATAATCATTCCACTTTAAATAACACCAGCTACGAACCTTAATGAAAACGTTCTCATTTAGATAATTTTACTGTAAGCACTTGCAGATTAAATGTTTAATGAGTTTTTCCATCAAGAATTTCCAAAAACAGTTTTATTTAAAAATAATCAATTTTTGTTCTTTAACAAAGGACTAACTCACACAAGAAAATTTGGCTCGATGCAAGTGTAGTAAACATTATTATTATTTTTTAAAGAATGGAATATGGCCTCATACGTTGAAAAAAGTACTGGGGTTTTCACAAGTTGTTTGAAAGTGGTGTCCTGTAATTTGTTTTTTCTAGCTCGATGTCTTGTCTATACTTTAAATCGGATGCTGTTCAGGCAATTTGTTATCAATGACATCAGCAAAAATGTTGTCAGTTTTCTTTGATCATTGAGGGATCTGAAGGCTATGCCCTTTTCCATGAAAGGCGCAAAAACCCAACTTGATACTCAGGCTAGGATCCTGAGTGCTTTTCCCGCCGGAGAAACCCGTAATTCCATGGCTCTGGTATGTAATCATGGGCTGGAGAACAGTCCATGAATTAGCGGCAAACATCATTGTACCGCTGGACTCTTCCGGTCGCGTTTAGTTCTGTCTCTTCTGTACGTTTTACTTAGACTCGTGCATAATAACAAAGGAACTTGTTTAGTCAGCGATAGGCCGCACAATTTTAATTCCATTGCGAAAGAATGGCATAGATAAACATAAAAGAGAGAGAAAATTATAGCGTGTACTAAAAACATCACTAACACTGAAATAGCAGTTTACGTTTCTTCTAAAACTTACCTAAATCATTTAGCTGGTAGATCGAAGGGAAATCGTTCCTGCTCTGGGGCCACGTGAAATAATTCATCAAAAATAATGCGATCCCCAAACCTAGCAAGGTGAGCCAAATTATGGTGTAACTAGTGAACTTCATTGTTAGCATCACATCCACTGGCCACTACGTGGAATAAGAAATCACAAATATTGCCATTAGTT